AAATACACAGTCAATCAATCCACGTTACGATATATTCCGTGAAGTGCTTTGGGACGTCTCAATGAAATGACATGGGGCCGTACCAAATACAATATTATTGTTATTGTTGGTAGTGTATCATTTCAATTCAGTCTGTGACTTTCTTCACCCAAAGCACTTCAGGTTGAGTATATTTGTGTATTTGTATTTCAAAGGCGCCAAATATAAACAGCGTTAGCATTCCCTGAGCTGGTCTATTCCTGGCTGATCACAGCAATTGGGATGTTATATAATAATAATAATAAAGTTATATTATAATGTTACAATTGGTCTCGTGGCACTGGGGCTTTTTTTGTGGTCAGTCAGGTGTCTGACACATGTAGAAACCCATCTCCGTGCTTAAGAGTCTCCAAACCCAACAGAATGAGTTCCGTGGTTCACTTACCAACACGTGGGAATTTCCCTGTGTCTGGACTGGAATGTGCACTCTATCCCCCTTTCCCCGGGAGGGAAGCATCCGATTGTTTACCCAATTCTGGAGAGTGTCAGCCAACGGGATTGACAAGAACCAAGGCTTGGGAGGAACCCCAGAGTGGTGCGTTGGGGTAACTGCTGGTGTAGGAGGGTCCTCGCTGGACAAGCAGCGGGAAAGCGCTCTCTCTCTCTCTCTCTGTCTCTCTCTCTCTCAATGGCCAAGCTATGTTGGGTTTAGCTGGTTAGACTCCAGCTGTTACCCCCAACGCACACTCTGGGCTTCCCCCTCCGCCCCCCACCCCAAGCCTTGGCCCCCATTACAGGAAGCAAAAATAACCTGTAGCTATTTACCTTCATCATTTTAGTTTCTTAGTTAGAATCCTAGTTTCTTCTAATGAAACCCTCCATACACACACACACAGAGACACACACACACAGACACACACACAGACAGATAAAATCGGCCGCTCACTTTGCTGCGCACAAGTTCTAACCACCGGTCCTGGCAATTGGAACAACGCCTTATCCATGTCCTGGAGGGGCCTCAAAAGTGCTTCACGGGGTTTTGCCGTGAAACCTATTCGCCGACCGTGTGTCCGACTGCCGCTAACAAAACACAAGCGCGAGTCACTGAGCTTTGCGGAACAAATCCCGCCGGGCGCATTGAGACATCGAACGCTGCGGTATCAAACACGTCGACTGTTATTATATTATTTTTTAACGGCAACAACCCGCATTTCCTGGTTGGGCGCCATTGGCTGCCGCACTTTGCCAACAGAATCATAATAATCCTGGCATTGGTCGCAGCCACCCATCCCGTCTTCGAGACGTCTCAAAGCGCTTCGCGGGATCGAAAGCCAAGTGACTGTCAAACAAGAGGGAGGAGCAAGGTTGTGCTGGGTGAGCACCTGCTAACAGTCCAGCTTGAGTTTGTGCAGTGAGTTGTCGAGTTGGGCGAGGTTCTTCTTGATGCGAAGCGCCGTGAGTCTGGCCGCGGGCATCTGGAACCACGACTCCTTCATCAGCTTGGTGAGCGCAGACATGATCTGAGGTCAGAGAGAGAGAGAGAGGCACGAGGTGAGCCCCCGGGGGCCGACAGAGAGAGAGAACCACAACAAATAACCACAACCACGACATTTGCACGATACCATTCACGTCCCGAGGCGCTGGACGGTCAGGGGTTTGGACCCGAGCTGGGGGTTGGGATCGGGAGGGGTTGGTGGAGGGAAGGGAGGGTGGTGGTGGTGGGGGGAGTGGGGTGCTGTGGTGGTTAGGTGTGTGACCGAAGGCGTGGTCGAAGGTGGTCTTGGCCCCCATTCCTTGCCTTGAAGGAGGTAAGAAAGAGGGGGGGGGGGGGCGAGGCGAAAGCACAGTGGGATGGAGTTCCAAAGGGAGGGGCGATGAGGGAGGGGGGGGGGAGAGGGCAGGTGAGAGGGGGGAGTGTGGGTGGGTGGGGAGAGGGTAGGAGAGGTCCTCACCGGGTCAGACAGCCAGCGGTTGGGAATGCCCGGTCTCTGCTGATCCACACAAACCACTTTCTTCATGTCTTCGAAGCTGGGGTCAGTGGGCACCACATCGTAGAACGGCGGCTTGTAATCCTGTGTTATTCCTGCAGACAGCGACACTATTATTATTATTATTATCATTATAATATACAATTAGAACATTTACTTAACAGGCCTATGTTTACCTCAGTATTATTTATTATTATCATTATTTAGTTATTATTTATCGGTCATTAGTTAATTGTCGGATCGCTTTCCCTGGGGATAATAATCCCTTCCTCCCCCCACACCCTGCCCCCCCCCCCTCAAAACAAATATCGCTCAATCCACTGCTGTATGCAATTGGCTGCCGCGTTTCACCCACAATAGACGCAGTCACTCAACCTTATAGTATATCCTGTGAAGCGCTTTGAGATGTCTCGACGATGTGATAAGACGCTGTATCAAATGCCAGGATTACTATTATTATTACTATTATTATGACAAGCCAGACTCCACACAAACCCTCCCTCCCACACCCGCCCTATCCACCCCCAATACCACCCCCCCCCTCCCTCCCTCTCTCTCGCTCACCGTTAATGACTGTCCTTCTTGCGATCTCCCACAGTACCAGCCCGAAAGCCCAGATGTCTGTCTGTTTGTAGGAGTCGAAGAAGTTTGTGCGAATGGTGTCGTCCAACACCTCGGGGGCCATATAGCGTTTGGTGCCCACCTTCGGGTTGTTCCCAATGTCCAGATAATCGTTACTCTGTGAGTGGATCACGGCCAGGCCTGGGGGGGGGGGGGGGGGGTGAGGGGGGAAGCAATGAATAATACTCGTCATGGAAGTCAAGGTCCGTTTTCTTTCCCACAAAGTACACAGTCACTACGCTTTACAGTGGTGGTGACGGGTTTCCACAGGTGTCAGACACTCAGCTGACCCCACCCCCCACCACTCCGCCCCCCCACCCCCCAAAAAACATACAGTAAATTCTACGAAGAGCTTTGAGACGTCATCCCAAAGTGAAAGCTTCTGTACCAATCGATCAGCGGCCAGGATTATTATTATTATTATTCTAATCGATATGATTTTTTGTATCATGAAAATAACAACTGTGGCCAATAGGGGGCGCCACGGCCTGTAACTGAGTGAGTCAGGCCCGGCTGAGGCGGGTCTGGCCCCCTCCGCTGGTCATTCTGTGCTACAACTGTAAAGGGAATTATCCTAATATTTCTGAATTATTTGCTATTCGGTGTTTCAAACAGTATTATGTTTTAAATAACATGACATTCTCACACATTAAAATACAATATCTGTTACAGCGCACATATCAATAGTAGTTGGCCCGCAAGACGACACAGTCACTTCACATGACAGTGTATTATATATTATTATATGTTATTATTATTATCGTGTGAAGGCGCTTTGAGACGTCTCGACGACGTGATGAGGCGAAGATTATCAAGTGCAGTTTGATGACCTTTCATCACATGTTTCATCGTCGACCTGACACTTTCCTGTCTCTCCGTAGATGCTGCCTGACCTGCTGAGTGTTCCCAGCCACCTGTGTTTTCTATAACAAGGATTATTATTATTTATTATTATTTATTATTATTATTATTGTGGTGATGGTGGTGGTGAGGCTTTGCGGGCGGTGTAAACAGCTTTACCCAGGTCTGCTATGCAGCACTGTTTGTTCCTCTTGATCAGGATGTTCCTGCTCTTGAGATCGCGGTGAGCGATGGCAGCTTTGCCCTGGGTCCCCACGATCTCCACGTGCAGGTGGACAAGGCCACGGATGATGGACAGAGCGAGCTGGAGGCACATCTCGGGCTCCACCGCGTTGCACTGCAGATAGTCGTACAGAGAGCCATTCTCGTGGTAGTGGGTGATGAGCCAGAGTTGGGTGCTCGAGTTCCGAGACGTCATGTCTGATGCAATGAAGCCTGGAGGAGACAAAGTGACCTCAGTGTCCAAACCAACACAAACCTACCTCCCTCCCCCACCCCCACTCACACACACACACACATGTGCACGCACGCGCACACCCACACACATATTACACACACATACAGACATGTGAACACAGACACATGTACACACCCGCAGACACACACACATACAGACACACACACACCACCGCCGGGGAGACAGAGACAGAGAGGAAGCTGGACGGACGGTGCCGAGGGCTGGGACTCACTGAGGATGTTCTCGTGCCTCAACATCACCGAGTTGTAGATCTCAGTCTCTCGGAACCACGACTGCTCGTCTCTGGAGGAGAAGATCTTGACGGCCACGTTCTCCCCATGCCACGTGCCCCTCCACACCTCCCCGTAACGGCCTTTACCTGTCGGGGGAACCAACACCGTAAACACAGCCACAGCTCCTTTACCCTACAGCCTCCACAGCCCCCAAAAATGTGACTCTCTCTCTCTCCCGCTCTCTCCCTCCCTCCTCACCTCCAAATCCCTTCACGCCCTGGCACCTCCCTACCTCTCCGATCTGCCCCACTCCACCACCCGCTGCCTCCGCTCAGCTGGCTCCGGCCTCCTGTCTGACCCTCATCCCCTCCACCATCATTGACTATGCCTTCAGCCACGATGCCCCATCTCCACTGGTCACCTTCTCCGCTCACTCCCACCCCTCTCTCTCTCTCTCTCTCTCCCCCCGCCCCTCGCTCTCTCAGCCCAAAACCAAGTGTGCAGCACTTTGAGACATTCCCCTGCCCCCAACCCCCCACCCTGACTCCCCTCCACCACCCCCACCCCACCCCTCCCCACCACACACACACACACACAAAAAAACAACACAAGGTGTCGTTGGACTCACCCACACACTCCATCAGGCTGACCTGCCGACCGACTGTTCTCTGGACCAGGAAGGGAAGCCCAGATCCACTGCCCGATGTACACGAATGGTCAAACAAGTCCTACAACCCAAAGCTTCACTTTACCCTAATGTGCAGGAGCTCCAAGAAGTTCAAATCCCCCCCACATCCCCCCACACCCCCCCCCCAGCCCAACGGTGTTCCTCTCTCTCCCCGAACCATCCCACCACACACACGCACACCATTTAATCTGATACCAAATAATCGTCTGCCTAGAAAACACACGGTCACTACACTTTAATAATAATAATAATCCTCCGCCCCCACCCAATTATTCTGACCGATGTCCTCCCGATGTGAAAGGCACTGTACAAATATCATTTGTTGTTGTTTTTGGCTCAGGCACTCGCACACACTGACACACTCGCGCACACTGACACACGCGCGCACACTGACACACTCGCGCACACTGACACACTCGTGCACACTGACACACTCGCGCACACTGACACACTCGCGCACACTGACACACTCGCGCACACTGACACACTCGCCCACACTGACACACTCGCACAGACGCACAGACACACACTGACACGTTCACATGCGCTCGCTCACACGCTCGCTCACACACACTCCCGCACTGACTCACACATAGACACACACATAGACAGAGACACACTGACACCCACACACACTGACACACACTCACAGACACAATGACACACACACACACACACACGCACTCACAGCTAACGTGTTATCCCCAACAGGAGTGGATTGCAACATGTCAGCTTTGCTGTACTCCTCGTCTTGGCGGCAATTAGCTTCTCGAGACTGACGCAGTTTCCTCCAGAAGAGCAGAAGCAGCAACACCACAGGTACAGCGATTACCAACAGCGTCACCGAGACCACCCCCAAAATGATGGGGGTCTTTACTGATCCCCCGCCCGGGGGCTCCTTCGGGTCTGAGGGGGAAGCACAGAAACCTCATCAACATCATCAAAATGATAACGTTAATAGTAATCATAATAATAATCGCAGCGTCTGATCACGTCATCGAGATGTCTCAAAGCGCTCATCAGGATACACTGTAAAGTGTAGTGACTGTGCTTTTGTGGGCGAAACGCGGCAGCCGCCATCCCCACCATCTCTAGGCTTTCTGATTTTCTCTTTATTGTCTGGTATTCGTTGCAGGTTACTGAGAGCCAAGGCCTTGGGGGAGGGGCAGGGGGGCCTGGGGAGGGAGGGGGGGTGCCCAGAGAGTGCGTTGGGGGTAACTGCTGGAGTCTAACCAGCTAAACCCACACAGAGCTCGGCCACTGAGAGAGAGAGAGCGCTGTCTGGCCAAGCTTTCCCACTGCTTGTCCAGCCAGGACCACCCTCCCCGCTAGTTAGTTAGTTAGGGCTTTGGCTGCAGGTTAACCGGACCCGAGGGGGAGGTTTCTCTGCCCCCAGTGACTGGTCGGCCCTTCCAGGTCCTGCCGATGGCTGAGCCGGGCCGGGCTGGGCTGCCATCAGCAGTGAGTGCCCTGGGACACTGCGGCCCCTCCTGGCTCAGGAACCGGGGGCTCAAGACCGTCACAGAGAGGGGGGGGGCTAGATTCCGACATTCCGTTGCCCAACACATCGCCTTGGGGCCAGTTCAGCTCCGAGGAGACCCCACATACTCACCCGCCCCCTCCCCCCACCCCACCCCCAGGAGTGAAGCTGGCGTGAGGCACGTACCCTGGGGGGCATTGCAGAGGTCACCCCGGCAGCACTCCATGCCCCTAATCTCTATGCACTGGTGGCGCTCGGTGTCGGTGAAGCAGCCCCTCCTGATGTCCAAGTCTCCTGTCTCTGTCCGCTCTATGTACACAAAACACTTGACGCCGAAGCAGTGAGTGTCCTTGTCATCACAGTAGCCGCCCTCACACACACAACGGAACTGCGTCTCAGCTCCCCACGACATCCGACTGGTACTAGACACTGAGACAAGAGACAGAGAGCACTGAGCACCTCTCCCCGGGGTCTTATACACACACACACACACACACACACACACAGAAACACAGATACACAGACACACACAGAAACCCAGACACACACACAGCCACACACACAGAAACAGACACACACACAGAACACACACACACAGCCACACACACACACACACACACGCGCTACAGGACTGCAGGAGTTCTGGTTTACCTGTGGTGGTTGTGGGGGGAGGCAGGACGGAGATGTTATTGGGGTCACACTGGCCTGTGGTGCACATGTTGAGGAAGGGACCGTAGCAGGTCTTGGTGCTGATGGAGGCCGAGGTGTCCTTCACACAGAGGCGTCCGGGACACTGTCCGTCCGTGCAGTTCGCACACTCACACTCCACTCGACCCTGACCTGTGTGTGTGTGGGGGTGTGGTGGGGGGGGGGGGGGCAGGGTGTCAGATTCTAAATAGTAATAATAACAATCCTTGCATTTGACCCAGCGCCTCGAGATGTCTCAAAGCGCTTCACAGGATCCACTGTCAGGTGGAGTGACTGTGTTTTTATGCAAGTGGCGGTGGTGGCGGTGGTGGTTGTTCTCTGGCCACACAGCACACGTTGTCGTACACATCAATACGACATCGATCTCGCTTTCCGCTCATTCTCTCTCTCTCTCACCCTCTCTACCTCCCTCCCTCTCTCCCCACCCCCCCGCCCCGACATCCTTCCCTCCATACTCTCACCCTCCTCTCCCCTTCTCACTCTCCATCCCTCCCTCTCTTCTCTCTCCCCCTCCCTCTCCCCCTCCCTCTCTCTCTCACTCTCTCTACCACTGATATTTTTGTCCTATTCTCTATTGGAATCGAAGGTGTAAAAATGGGTGGAAATGGCCTTGTTCCGCGCTTGAAACCAGGTTCCCTAGTGAGAGGCTCCGCGATACCTGGAGATACCAGTTGGCCAATACCTGCTGTCTGTTACAGGTACAGTATAACTCGAGAGACAGGAAGGAACACAGACTGACCTGTAACCAGAGCTTGGAGGAAGATCAAATGCAAATGTCCAAGTAGGAAGATGATTAATATCCCTCGAGCCATTGGAGACCTGAAATGCAAAGTAGACTTTAGTGTCTCCCCTCCATTCACAGTCACGTCTTCAGGTATCATCCGCGATGGGGGAGAGAGAGAGAGAGAGCGAGAGAGAGAGGAGGGAATGGGGTTAGAGGAGAGAGCTCCAGTGGGGGAACGATCATGGTGGGAATTTCAACTCCCGATGACGGATGTGTCGAAGCCTTTAGTGGAGTTGCGGGTGAAAGCTGAGAGGGATAAATAGATCACTGGGAGCCGCCACAGGAAACAAGGCCGGCTGGGATTCCAAGACAGAAGGTGCAATAACATGAGGAAGTGGTGTGTGAAGTCTGCTTCCCTTATCCCATTGTTCGTCTAACTCAAAGGTAATCATCTCTCTCTCGACGGCTGAAGTCTGGTCAAAGTACTGAACTGACTGATTCCTGTGAATGAGTGTGGTTTGTCAGTCAGTCCATTCAATACTTGCATGTCTCCTCACCCCTGTCTGTCTGTCTGCTTCGTACAATAATAATAATAATCCTTGCATTTGATACAGCGCCTCATCACGTCTTAGAGACGTCTCAAAGCGCTTCACGGGATACACTGCAAAGTATACGTTGACTGAATATTTTGTGGGCGAAACGCGGCAGCCAACTGAGCACAGCAGGTGTCCCACAAACAGTCGTGGATCGATTGACCAAATTATCATGTTTTAAAAAAAAATATTACTCACGGAAAAGCGAGTCACCAATCGCTTAACATCAGGGTTCCTAATAACTGCTGGTAAACAGAGGCGTGTGTGTGTGTGTGGGGGGGGGGGGGGGGGGTAAGGAAACTTGCCTAAGGTTTCGCCCTGACCGGATCCGCGCGGGAATCGAACCCGGGTCCTCTGGCTGGCGAGGGCTCTCACCGCTACACTACGGGACTCCACAGTTATGATTATCGCAATCTCCGCAGAGCATCAGCCGGGCTATGACCTTGTGGGGGGGTGGCGAGAGATGGTGTTTGTTAAATAAAAAGCTCGGGGAGGAAATCCTGAGACAAAGCGCTCATAAGAGGGCAAAGAGGTGAGGCGGAGGTCAGTGATCTCCCAGGCGCCAGGGCTCTCTCGTAATGTCTCTGCCTCTCAGCTCCGTCTAGACGTTGGCGTGTGTTCCTACAGTTTTTTCTTTCCGCTGGGAGAGAGAGCGAGAGAGAGAGAGAGAGAGAGAGAGAGAGAGCGAGAGAGACAAATCCGAGGCCAACAATCGATGCGGAGGGTCCTTTTTTTTTGAAATAATAATAAATTGCTGCGCGAGCCAAAACCGGGCTTGTGTGAGCGGTCGGTGGTGGTTGGGGAGGAGGGGGAGTGGTGAGGGTTGGGTGGGGGGAGACGGGAGGGGGAGAAGGCTGGGGTGGGGGGGTGAGACGGGAGGGGGAGCGGGGAGGGGGAACAGGGGCGGAAAACTAATTTCAGGACAAAAAAAAACTAGGCGTGGTACTATACTTTACGGCCAGGAAACTGACTGAGCAATATTTACATTCTGGATGTTCTGAGGCCAGGAAGGTCCGGGAGGGGGTGGGGGGGAGGGAGCGGGGAAGGGGCAGAGGGGGAAGGGGTGACGGTTAGAGGATAATTACTCACGTCATTAGCCAACGAGCTTGAGGGCTTCGTCTGAACTCAAGAGCTCCAGTGGGGGAGCGAGCACCAGCACCGGGGAGAGAGAGAGCGAGAGAGAGAGAGAGCTGGGAATGGGGTTAGAGTAGAGAGCTCCAGTGTAAGGCGGAGCGAGCCCAGCGCAGACAGGTGGAGAAAGGGTTAAAGCTGTATATAGAGGGATTTCCGAATCCCTCTATAACCTTCGGGATTGTGGGAAAAGCAACCAACCTGTGAGCCAAGGCCACTGGGCACCTGCAACCTGTGAGAAACCTCGGCCAAGTGGGGGCTTTGTGTAAAGGGAAGTTAGCCCCATGTCCCACATTCCCAGCTGTTTGGCACGTGCAAACCATCTGCTGCTTTCAACACCCCCACCCCCCCCCACTCCCCACACCCCGCTCACAGTCACTACACTTTATACTGTATCCTGTGAAGAGCTTTGCAAAGTCCTCCCAACAAACAGACACAAAGTGAAGGACGGAATTTGTTTGGGGGGGAATTGTCGGCCCAGGACACCGTGAGGCCGTGTGAGAGAGAGGGAGAAAAGGGGAGAGGGAGCGAGAGATAGAGAGAGAAACTCCATTCTCTTTTCCATCTCTAACGTCCATCTCTGAGATGGGGCCACAGACGGGGAGTGAGGTTTAACGTCTCATCCGATGGACGACGCCTCGGACAATGCAACAACCCCCACCCCCCCTGACGTGTGGGGATTTGAACCCATAAACTTCTGACTCAGAGCTGAGAGAGAGAGGAGAGAGAGAGAGAGAGACAGCGCTAACACTGAGCCAGGCACCGTTTCTCCTTGTTTCCACTCACCTCGGTTCTGATGAAAACAAGATCGGAGACATCACTGTGGGGGGGTTATGATCATGGGGGAGACTTGGCCCCTCACTGCCGCTTCCGAAATATTCCGAGGGAAAACGGTTTCATGTTGCAGGATGTCCAAACTTCAAGGCCACTACATTCCAGCTGTTTCCTATGGAACCGAGTCACCTGGGGAAAGGGGAACTTGTTTAGATGGAGGTGCCATTACATCTGAGTATTTCAGGACATAAAACAAGGAGAGCAACAGATGTCTCACAGGAGACCTTGTAGACGTGCGGGACATTTTAAAATGGGATTAAAAAGTAATAATAATAATAATAATGCTGGGATTTGACACAGCGCCTCATCACGTCTTTGAGACGTCTCAAAGCGCTTCACGGGTTACACCGTAAAGTGGAGTGACTGTATATTTTGTGGGTGAAACGCGGCAGCCAATAGCGCCCAACAATGTCCCGACAAACAGCCGTGGGTTGAGCGACCAAATTATTATTATTATGAAGGGATTATTACCCCCCAGAAAGCGATCCACCAATCGACTAACAACCGGGTTCCTACTGACTGCCGGTAAACAAAGGTGTGTGTGTGTATGTGTGGAGTATGGAAACTTGGCTAAGGTTTTGCTGTGCGGGAATCGAACCCGGGTCCTCTCGCTTGCGAGGCGAGGGCTCTAACCACTGAGCTACAGGGACTCTCCATATCTGACTCATAGACATTACCCGCCATCCAGCCTAACTGACGCCAGATTCAGTTCTCTAACATTCTGAAATCAAATCTAAGATTGAACTAAGAAGGTCAAAAACACAGGCTCCGTTCTGTCTCCACCGTCAGCTCAGCTCAGCGCAGCGCAGCTCAGCGCAGCTCAACAGCGCAGCTCAGCTCAACAGCGCAGCTCAGCTCAGCTCAGCTCAGCACAGGGCAGCTCAGCTCAGCTCAGCACAGGGCAGCTCAGCTCAGCGCAGCTCAACAGCGCAGCTCAGCACAGGGCAGCTCAGCTCAGCGTAGCTCAGCTCAGCTCAGCACAGGGCAGCTCAGCACAGGGCAGCTCAGCACAGCGCAGCTCAACAGCGCAGCTCAGCGCAGGGCAGCTCAGCCCAGCACAGGGCAGCTCAGCTCAGCACAGGGCAGCTCAGCTCAGCACAGGGCAGCTCAGCACAGCGCAGCTCAACAGCGCAGCTCAGCACAGGGCAGCTCAGCACAGGGCAGCTCAGCACAGGGCAGCTCAGCTCAGCTCAGGGCAGCTCAGCTCAGCGCAGCTCAGCGCAGGGCAGCTCAGCACAGGGCAGCTCAGCTCAGCACAGGGCAGCTCAGCTCAGGGCAGCTCAGCACAGGGCAGCTCAGCTCAGGGCAGCTCAGCTCAGGGCAGCTCAGCGCAGCTCAGCGCAGCTCAGCGCAGCTCAGCACAGGGCAGCTCAGCGCAGCTCAGCTCAGCACAGCTCAGCGCAGCTCAGCGCAGCTCAGCGCAGCTCAGTGATCCCATTCCCTCATTTTTTAAAAAAAATCAAGAACAAAAACTGAAGAATAGGAAGCAACACATCAAGAACATAAGAATTTGCTGACGCAAAAAACCAAAGTCCATCCCGTTTGTCTTCCAACAACCTCGTCATGTCATGTCCCCAAACTATAGCCTGTGTTCCCCCCCCTCTCCCACCCCACCCCCAGATATCATTCCCTGACACAAATCTCTCTCATTAGCTTGGACAATGGACAACTTCTGCTTCCTCTGTCTGTCTGTTTGTCTGACCGTCTCCCTCAGGAGCTTGTTCTGTATGTTTATTACTCGCTCGCTGAAGCAGTGTTTCCTCAGATTTGTCCTGAATTCACCCCCCACTTCGATCTCAGGCCGTGTGTCCTCTGGTTCTGTTGTTCGGTACAAGATAAAAACAGCTTATCATGTTCTACATTGTCTGTCCAGTCCCTTTAGAACCTTAATGGCCAGCAATCGTAATCGGAGCGCCTCTCGACCTTCTCTCGTCCAGCGATTTCTGTGTGTGAAAGTCCCCGAATTCTCCGCAGTGAGTTGCAACTTGTCGTCCTCCCAACAAATTACTTTTGCTGCTATCTTTCCTGCCACATGGTGATGACACGGGCTCTAACTCCCCGTCCAAGGATAACACTCGCACTCTCAACACTTAATTCATTTTCTCTCTCGCTGCCGCGATAATAGAGTGTCAGGACGTTTATCTGGCCTGGAAATGACACCGCGCTTCTGTCTGCCCTCTCTCTCGCGCTCTCTCTCTCTTTGTCCGTCACCCCCACCCACCCACCCCCCTCCCACGTTAATCAGGAGGTAAATGTCACACAACAAAGCCATGACACATCATGTGAAATTGCTGAACTTTCACAACCCCTTTGTAAATCTCTGCCCAGATTTTCACCCTAAATTTATTGCTGAGGTATTTCAGTTCTCCTTCCCCTGAGCCCCCTCACTCCCCTCACTCCCTGTCACACCCCCCACTCCCTGTCTGTAAATAAGGAGAAACCGTTTCCTCTGGCGGGCGGGTAACCAGAGGACACAGATTTAAGATTATTGGCAAAAGAACCAGAGGGGAGACCAGACCAGGAGACATTTGGATAGAAGCTTTCCACAGGGACTTGGAAAGCAAAGGAAAAATTGTGCAGGGCTTTGGGGGTAAGAGCGGGGGAGTGAGTGGGACTAGTCTTTCAAAGAGCCGCCACAGGCCCGAATGGCCTCCTTCTGTGCTGTAAGATTCTATGATCCTGTGATTCCTGAGTCAGAAACCACAAGTTACACTTTAATGGTCTCGGTTTGTTCTGCCAACGGCAGTGAAGAGAGTAAAAGCCAACACCACAGGGGGAAACACACACTATCTGCTCCGAGCCTTCAGCAAAACCACAACTTTCAAACTAAATACATCGTCGTCCAGCCTCAGGGAATCATTTCAGATGAACTTTGGCCAGATTCACTCTCACGTTACAACACAAGAGGAAGCCATTCTGCTAATAGCCTAATACCGCCTCTCACTCCCCCACTGGAGCTCTCTCCACTAACCCCAGATTTTCTCTGTGTGTTTGTTTAACAAATGGAGATGTTTGAGGGAGGGGTGAGGGGTGCGGGCAGGGGGGAGCATGCCTTCAGACATGTGTTTGTGCTTACAGCGAGGAATAATGAAAAGCAGCAAAGGAAACAAGTTAGTTCAGTCTTGCACGCAGGCAGTCAAGCTTAACACTTCAGATGAGACGTAAACCGAGGTCCCATCTGGTCCTGTCCAGATGGATGTTAAAATGTTATTCGAAAAAAGAAGGGAGTTTCTCCCAATGTCTGTCCAACACTGATCGTTTGTTTTATAATAATAATAATAATAATCTTTGCATTTGATATAGCGCTTTTCATGTCGGGAGGACGTCCCAAAGCGCTGCACAGAACACACTGTAAAGTGAATTGACTGTATATTTGTGGGCGAACGCGGCAGCCAATTGCGCACAGCAATGTCCCACAAACAGTCGTAGATTGAAAATGACCAATTTATTATAGTTTTTGGTTTTTGAAGGGATTATTATTAGGCTCTGTGTGGAGTAAGGAAACTTGCCCAAGGTTTCGCCCTCTGCCTGGAATTGAACTCAGGCCTCTCACTTGCAAAGCAAGTGCTCTAACCACTGAGTTACAGGACTCCACGAGGGCTGTTGATGGGACGCTGCTGTGCGAAAATTGGCTGCCGCTTTTCGCACACAAAATATACAGTCAGTTCACTTCACATTATATTTTGTGAAGCGCTTTGAGACGTCTCGAAGACGTGATAAGGCGCTGTATCAAATGCAAGGATTATTATTATTTATTACTATTATACTAGATACACACAGTCACTACACTTTAGAGTAAATCCAGTGGCGGGCTTTGTGATATCCTCCCGATGTCATGGGCATCGTATCTAAATGCAAGGATTGTTATATTTTATTATTATGAACAACAACAAGGGTCCCATGGTGAGATATTCAGTGTTCGGGCTCACGCGATGTAAAACCAGTCTTTAGTGACCTGTCAAAGAGTTTATTTGGGAAACTTTTTGCTTGAGAGCTGTTCTCAGCAGCTGGATCACAAAATCCCTTCAAGAGCAGCTCAGTTCAGTAATGGATCAACAGATGTCCTCGGCCAATGTAGTCATTGGCCTTTGACCAACATTCCATCTCAGCTCCCCACCGAGGCACAGAACAGAACAGAACAGAAAACACTTCAAGTGGCATTGAAAAAAGAAGTTCAACCCAGATCAACACTTTGGGATAATAAGAATGATAGTAATCCTTGTGCCCATTGGCCAAGGGGGAGGGTCTTTAGGTGCGAGGGGCGATGAGAGGCGGAGGGGCTCCGGGATGGAGTTTGATAATAATAATAATAATCCTTGCATTTGATATAGCGCTTTTCACGTCGGGAGGACGTCCCAAAGCGCTTCACAGAACACACTGTAAAGTGAATTGACTGCATATTCTGTGGGCGCTGTTTCAAATGCAACGATCATCATCAACATCAACATCATCATCATCATTATTATTACTATGGCCAGTGTAGTGACTGATATTTATAGGCACAGAATTAATTGAGCTTTCATGCCGCGACACCAGCACAATGGGGAGAGAGAGAGAGAGAGAGAGACCTGGGAGTGGGGTGAGAGTAGAGAGCTCCAGTGGAGGAGCGGAGCCCCACAATAGGCTTTCAGCCTCTCTGCCCTCACACTCTGGAACTCCATCCCACTCCATCCTTTGTCTCTCCCTCTCTCCCCCTCCCATTGCTCTGGCCAAAAAAAATCCCCCAGATAAGATTAGTCATCAATATCTTGGCTGTTTGTGGGGACGTCGTTGTGGGCAAATTGGCTGCCTCGTTTCGCCTTCAAAATACACAGTCACTACAGTCGGGAGAAAATCTCCGGCCAGCGCTGTGCCTTGCGCTCAGGCAGTCTATCAAATGCCGAGATTATGATTGTTATTATTACTATTTGTGCTCTCGGACTAAAGAATCCTCCAGGGACTTGTATATCCCGGACTGATAAGGTCATTGAGTTATTCAGTCACGGGAGACTGTCAATTTAGACTCGAACCAGAAATAATAAGAGATTAGAATTTGCCTTCATCTCCAGACACCCTCCCCACACACACACTGCCTCCCCCCCACACATACTCCCCCCGCAACCCCCACAAACACACACACACACACACTCCCCCCCCTCTCCCAACACACACACACATTCCCCCCAACACACACACACACTCCCCCACCCCTCCCACACACACACACACACACACTCCCACACACACACTGCAGTGGTCCAATGTGCTGTTTCATTGTTTGGTTGAATAACAAACTCCGCCAGTGAAAGCCAGGCTCAGGAGTCGGCTTCAGTCATAATAATTCCAAGGATCAGCATCACTTCCCATTCCCGGCTATTATTGAGCATTCCAATCGTCCTGATCACTTCCTCTTTACTCCCACCGCCCCCAGCGCACTGCATCCCAACTCTTCCCAATCCTGTTAGCTCCCTACTCTCACCCCATTCCCTCCTCTCTCCCCGTCACGACACAAAGCAGATTTCAAGCCTGTAAATGGATTTGAACCCAGGTTCAAGAAATAAAGGTTCATTGCTCTGCGCAACACTCACAAATCGCTGTGATGGTTTTTTTTGTTTATCTTAATTTTATTCGACCTCTTTGCCTTCTGCCCCCTGGATGTTCGCCATGTGTGCGTTTATGAAGATGGCGTAGAATTGTGGAGAATTCTTCCATCCCGATAACGCGCTCTATCAAGGATTATTATTATTATTATTATTACTCCCTTCTCTTCTGGAGCAGAGCTGTGGGAACTTTAACATCCACTTGAACAGATAGTCAGAGGGCTCGGTTTAATGTCTCATCCAAAGGACGGCATCTCCTACAATCCAGCGCTGCATTTGAGCGTCATCTTAGATAATAATAATAATAATAATAATAATCCTTGCATTTGATATGGCGCTTTGAGCTCAAAGTCCCCATTGTGGGGCTTGAACCCACAAACTTCTGACCCGAAGGCGAGAGAGCTACCACTGAGCCGGGCTGCCAAACGTGATGATCATTGACGGAGAAAGGAGAGGAGAGATGGAGAGAAAGTGAGAGAGCATTCACTCCGCGCCCTCATCAACAACACAATTACATGGGTAAAGCATCTTTCACGTCGGGAGGACATCTCTAGGCCCTGGACAGAGTTTTGGACTCAAGCTGGGGGTCAGGGTGGGGGAGGGTGGAGGGGAGGGGTGGAGAGCAACAAGGAGATCGAAAGCACGTTAGAAGAGGAGGGTCTTAAAATGGGTAGTGAAGGTGGCGAGGGAGGGGTCGAGGCGGAGGGACCGCGGGATGGAGTTCCGGAGGGTAGGGGCAGAGCGGGCAGAACGAGGCGCCCGCCAATAGTGGGGCGAATGAGGCGGGGGATGCGAAGCAGGCCGGAACCCGCTGAGCGGAGGGAGCGGGCAGGATGATAGGGAGTTAGGAGGTCGCAGAGGTAGTGGGGAGCGAGAATCAGACACAGATCTGCCCACTCGCGAAGCATATCCTCACAATCTCTGAAGGGAATGTTTCCTAATCCTTCTCCCCGAAGAATTGCAGAATACTTATATAATCTCACATCCTCCTCCGCCATTTCCCCAGCCTGACATCGGGGAGCTTCCATTCCAACCCCTTCCCCAAATAAACAAACTGCCCCCCCCTTAAAAATATATATATATTTACTTGCATTCTTGTCGGTACAGAGTGGTCACATCAAACAACAACAACTTACATCGTCCTTCACAAATGTAGGGTAGTGTCCCACAGCGCAAATTAAGGCCGTCTCAATGTCCTGAGCGAAATGGGTCAATTCAAAATGGAAGAAGGGTATCAAGGCATTTAATAATAATAATAATAATGCTTGCATTTCATGCAGCGCTTTATCACGCCTTCAAGATGTCTCACAGCGCTTCACAGGATACACCGTAAAGCAGAGTGAATGGACTGTGTATTTTGAGGGCCAAACGCGGCGGCCAATTGCTCACAGCCACGTCCCACAAACAGTCGTGGAATTTGAAGTGACCAAACTGTTATTATTTTTTGTTGGAGGGATTATTGCCGTCAGGAAAAGCGATTCCCCAATCGAATCGACTAACAGCAACCGGGTTTCGCCCTGCCCTGTCCCGTCCGGGAATCGAACCCGGGTCCTCTCGCTCGCAAGGCGAGGGCTCTAACCCCTGAGCAACAGCGAACTCCACAAGCATGGAATCCGAAAGCAATGCACATCAAC